GGCCAGCACGCTGTAATGATTACTGCTGTAAAGTCTTCACTGGAGATGTGCTCTATTTCATTCTCAATGAGGGCTGATGGCATTTTGAGAGGCTCAGAATATCCTTTGATTACTGCAGAAAGCCGAGCGGGGAGGCTGGCGATGTGGCGCGCGGCGCCCGAGGGGGCTGCAGCTCCCACTGCTGCTCATCAACTTTCTTTTGTGCCTTTTTTATTTTTTTTTTTTATTTTTTTATTTTTTATTTTTTGGTGTGCCTGCTGGGTTGCAATCACAGACCGCAACCACGCTCAGTTGTGGTCTGAGGGACAGCCTGTTTGCCACCTTTCTGAGGGGTGGAAGGGCAGCATCTTCACAGATCTGCAGGACTGGGGTCTCCAGGAAGGGTTTTTAACCCACCGCAGCAGGAACCAGGTTTAATTCTCAGGCCAGGGGCTGCGGCCGTGCATTTCACCTGCCTTTCTGTGTCCCTGTGCTCGAAGACGGGCTTCTGGGGTCTCCTAACAGGTTGTTGGCATCACACGTTGGAGAATCTTTGATTCTCCTGTGTATGTTTAGAGCAGGTTGTGGCTGCTTGTGCAAGAGAAAGTACAGGAGATTCACCCAAAATTGTGGTATAAATGAGTGCTGGCTGGACCCAGGTCGTGGGTGATGTGCCTCTACCCACTTGGAACTAGCAGTAATGGCTTAAACCCACCCTCCTTCAAGGACACTCGAACTGAGTCGACACTCAGGCTGCCTGAAAATATTTCCTTTTCTTCCTGACACCAATGGGCTGAAAAAACCTTCTATGCAGAAAAGACTCACTCATTGTTTCCTTTGTTATTTCCTTTATTATTTATTTTTCTGCTCACTGATTTAAAGTGTCTTGTAGACCGTGCCCTGGTTTTGCAAGGAGCAATCATCAGAGACTGGAGCAAGTGCTTTGCCTCGCACAGGCGGGTGCTCCCAGTCCTTCCTACGCGTGAGGTGCCTCAGCATTCGAGTTAAAATGTTTACACGTTTTCTGAGAAAGGGTAATGCTGCAAAACGGCCTGGGAGTTCATAATTTCTAATCAAGATTCATTGATCCCCAAAGCGGCTTTACAGCCGCTGAGCTGCGGACATTGTAAATTGCTGCAAAACTACTGTCCGCAACCTGTGTATATTATTCCTACCTTTTATTTTTGTTGTTGAATAACAGGCTCTCCTTCCCTCTGGCTGCAGAAATTTATGTCCTGCTTTGCCACATTAGCTCCACCGGGCCATATTTCTGCCTGTGTGCCTGAAATAGCCGACTTGGGGGCTGCCAGGACACGAGGGCTCAGCTGTGCCCTGCACCCTGTGCCCAGCTTGGCAGTGGCACCTCTCATGGATGTTCTCTAGGGCCAGACACAGAAAAGCTGATCAGAGAGTCGTCACCTGCCTGGGGACAAGCTCGGAGGCCACAGTGGCCCCATAAACATGGAACAAGCTCCAGCACATAATCCCCATAGACGTGGGACAAGCCCCAGCATATAATCCACAGGACACATGAGGCTCAAGTAACGGGACACGGCAGAGACACATTCACCCAGTCGCATAGATATGAGCGGCAGGGCCCAGCATGGCTTTGATTTCATTACTGCCTAACATGTAGCCAGAAGGGTATTATGTCCCTGCTGTAAAAAAAAAAAAGGAATATGTTTACCTTTGGGAGACTTTAGAGGCAAGGAATTGGAAAGTGAAATTCATGAATAGTGAAATTCATGAAGCCAATATTCACAAAGGCGTTATTTACCTCTGTTTTATCAAGGCTCATTTTACACCAGCATCAGCTGTTACAGTAGCTGATATGTCACTGGTTTTTAATAGCAAAGTCCCTTTAAAGTGGCTTATGGGGACATTTTCTTGAGTTTGGGGTGGTTTTTTTGTTCAGGGGCGTTTGCTGTTTTTATTTTTCTCCCTGATGTCATGTTTATGCATGAAATTCAATCTTATAGTATGAAGAACGAAATCTTGAGCAATTATGGTATAGGAGCGCTCATGGGCAGTTAAAAATGCTGGGTGCCTCCTGTATGATGCTTATAATCCAGATACAGATGGATGTGAGCAGTGTAAGGCCAATGGATGCAATGTACATTACAGTTGCAAAGAGTGATCAATGATTCTTTTTTTCCCCTTTTTTAGATGTGCAAGTTGAGGCTTTTAAAAGAGGCTTCTGTAGTGAAGCCTTTGAGCAACCAGCTCACATGCTGCAGAAGTGAAGCTGCTTTTGTCATCACAAAGTTAAGCGACAAACAAACTTGGATCACACACACAAATTAAGCTGTTTTCTATTTGCCAAGATCCAAGCGTATTTTCTGCCCACATTGTGCTTCATTTACTGACCAGCAGAAGCTGGCTGGGGCTGGCAGTGCTAAAACTTCCTTGGAAGCTACGCAGCGATGACATCATGTTGCAATTAGCAGGCAAATTAAAGACATTTAAACAACTGTATCCCGTTTTCAGCCCCACTGGCTGGCACCACAGCTGTTTTCTTTGCCTCCTTTTTTGGAGCAGAGGCCACAGAGTACTAACTCCTAGGGGAAAAAAAGCCTGCAGAGAGAAGTGGTTTTGGGAAGAGGCGAGCTGTAAAGGTCTGTGTTGAGCGTGTTACAGGGCAGCTATGTTTAGTACGGAGCTAAAGGGGAGGCATGAAGAAAATACCATTGCTGTGATCCTAGTTGGCAGGTCACTGTCTGGCGAGGGTCTTTTCGGCAAAAATAGCAGTAAACACAGGAATGTTGGTCCATTCTCTCCTGATAACTTGGGACAGGGCTATTCTAAGAGCGCCTGTTATTATGTTGTTACAGTTGCTTAGTATGTATTTCAGTACTGGAATTGCAGACAAGAATATCTAAATACAGGGTGGTGGGTTTGTTTTTTATGTGAAGAGGGTGGCGCAAAGTATGTCCATGGATAGATAATATGGCCGTCTAAAAATGGTATTTTTTGTAAGGTGCTAATCCTGTAAAATACCTACAAGGGGAGTTGCCTAGCCCTATTTAGTGAAGTCAAGCCCATTGGCAAACAGTTTGCTTTTCCAAGTTATCTAAATTCATTCTGGGCTCTGAACTAAAAGCAGAGCTAGACAGCCCTTCCCATATTCATCCAGAAGCCAAGAGCGGTAGTTCATGCGACTGCTTCTGTGAAAATAAAAAGACATACTTTAAAAGTGAGCAGCTGTCCACAGTGTAGTATTGAATGGGAAAGGAGTAATTGTGTTCAGTTGTTGAATTTCTGTGGAGAGCATGTACATCTCATCTGAACAGCAAGGACCGAAGCTGGGGAGCTGCAGGATTCCCCATCCTGCTTTGGATGTTACTGGTAATGTTACTGTTACTGGATGTCACTGTTAACAGTGGCATTGCTCTTTCGTCACCAGTTCCTACTTCTTCTATTGCTCTTGTTGGTAATCATCGGTTTGCCTGAGCCCTCATCACTCTCTAGGGACTCTAGCTTCAGTCTTCAGTCCCTTCCCTTCTGCATCTGATGGAGCAGACAGAGTTTCCCTGAATTCAAATTTGGAGGGCAAGGAGGAGGCAGAGCAGAAGTCCTCTGCAGTGGAGCCTTCCTTAGCCCTCAGCATCCATCAGTCTTGCAGTTACCTGGTTGTCAGGTGTAACCTGCTTCATTAGAAGTTGCAGCAGAGAAGGGACCCGGGGCCAGGGGCGATGCTGCCCCCCGTGTCCTTCCCGACTCCAGGTTCCCCAGGGAGGAGCAGCTGCCGAGCGAGTCCTGTCCACGCTGGGCTGGTAGGGACAGTTCAGCTGACCAAGTTTTCCTCTGCAGTTTTGCAACCTGAAGGCTTTTTCAGAAGGTCATAACGTAGCTGAATATGGATGAGTTTTCACAGGCATGCAGAAACATTTATCCGTTACAATGGCTCACACACCAAATTTCCACTTGGGAAACACAAGGTGTTAGATTGGAGCAACAAAATGGCTGCAGGGATATTTCTAATATAAGCAAATCAGCATATTTTTGATCACCAGAGAGGTGTTCATTCAGGCAACCAAAATGCATTTAAAATAAATTTGTGCCTTTTCCTAAAGGTTTTTTGCCTGAAGCAGGTATCTAACTTAAACCATTTCAACCGAAAACTGCTCCTGCTTGATAAAACTGCATGCAAGTTGGATATGCAAGTTTTTATGAGGAGAGATATTAGGCAGTCACCATCTTCTTGGTCTTTTGGCAATACATTTATGAAGGAAAGCTTGACTATAGTACATCCTGCTCTTGCTCTAGGAGGATGTGTGTCTGTCTTTCCTCGCAGTTTGATACGGATGGATGTATTTCTGCAGTGGATTTTGGATGAGTAAGGTATCTTCCTAAGCAGAGCTTTCTTAGGACGGTTGGATTTCTGTCCTGAGACACAGTTTTTTCTCTACACATTTGTCTCAAGCTTAGAACTTTTTTTTACCTTGACTTCTCCCAAAATAGGAGTAAGGTGAAAACAATGAAAATCCTGAAATAACATGAGAACTAAAGGAAACATGAAGAGCTGATTTTTAAATTCAGAAAATAGACATTTTTGCATTAAAACAAGAAAAAAAAACTTCTGAAAAATAAAGGGTTGTTTCATTTGGATCTTCCTCCCCAAATCATTGATTCCTCTACTAAGGACCTGTTGGTTTTGACCAGCAGTAACAGGTATAAACGCGGCTTCCTGCAGATTGTGAGCATGAGTGTGTCTGTCCTTTCCACACAGCCACCTTCCCCAAAATCAGCCACCAGGGCTGTACAGGACCTGGAGCTGTCAGCAGGCGTTACCCTTGTCCCTACCGACCCAGAGGAGACCTCTAACCCTCTGTAAGGCAAGAGGCACAGACAGCTTCTTGGTGAGACTCATGCCAGGATTGAGTTCCTTCAGTTTGGGACCTTGTTAGGAAAGCTAATTGTCGTGCATGTTTCTCCCCATTAGCTCAAACAGTTCGTGTGACTTCTTTCATTCATGTGACCTCTTACTATGTATCCATCAATCCATTTTTCTTTCCTATTAGAGTGAAATTGGACACAGCCCTCCTCCTGCCTACACCCCTATGTCAGGAGTAAGTATTTCACCCTCAACCTTCATCCTTAGGTTTTCCGCCTTCCTTGTCTACGTACGTACTGTTTCCAACCCTGTCTTCCTACATAAGTGGCCCCAAAGCCAGCAGTGAACACAGGATGTACGTAAGCAATCCAACAGTCAGGGAGCTGTAAAGTCAGCTGGAATTCATGTGCAGGCTCTATGGACCCACACCTAAACTGTCTGCCAACATTTTCTTGAAAAAGCATTCAGGTTATGGGTGCGGATGAGTGGCCGTTTTCCTTCCTGTTACAGGTTCTGATGTGGAAATTTCCTTGCGCGTCCTTGTTGACATGCAAAAGGGTAGGTTGAGTCAGGGCACTGAGCTGAGGTACCTGCAAGCAGGCGCTTTGCCAGCCTAGGGTGCTCTTAATGGACTCGCAGCGAGTCTGGATGGCCGAGTGATTGGTGCTGTGGGGACCCCTGAAAATAGGCCCCCCAGGACTAAACGGAGACCAGATGGCAACAGAGGTAACAGAGCAGAGGTAACAGCACAGGGAAGACATGGCAGGGGGGCG